CATGTTGGGAAATTGGAAAATTTAATGGGTAATGGTAATGTCATTGAATGGAAATTGGAAAAAAACAAAAATAGTAATGACCCAGTGAAAATAATAATAAGTCAGTTACCTATATTAGTCAGTAACCCTCCATAATATGTTTCACTGACCCATTGAATGTCATTTTGGGAAATTGGTCATTTAATGGAATTACCATGGGGTTTTCCCCTGAAATCATCGTAGAATTCCCAGAAAACATGGGCCAATGGGTTTCTCTTACCAACATAAAAACATTAGGATTCCCTGAAGATGGTGCCATTTTCCATGGCTATGTTAAATAACCATATGGTAATTGAATGGAGACAAAATGGGTTTGTCCAAAAACTATGTTGCACCCCCCAGAATGACCAATGTAATGGGGAATGCGATGATAAAACCTGGGATGCAATGTTTGGGTTCGTTGTTCGTTGAACCCCTATTTTGGTTACAAGGTGGGACACCTAAGAAGTTAGTTTATTACCGCGTCCAACTATATTTACAATTACCATAAGCCATCAAGCCTACTTAACTCACTTATACACCAACTTTGCAAAGTTATGTGGCACCATAAATATAATATTAATTCATATTTATTCGGTTATAATCCCATTAAACCGATCATTTTTCCCATGGTATGCCATTGTTCAAACCGGAGTTGCCTCGGACATGGTCGATGGGGACTGGTGTGATGTCGTCGCCGCAAGGCTCCGCTTTATCTATGCACTTTTACGATCTTTTAATGTTCCCAATGGAAAATCCACTGCAAGATATAAACTTATTGGACGTGTAGAATATTAAAGCACTTTGGGTTGATTTCTAGTGTCGCACTGAGGTACTTTGATTGGCAAAAAATCATGAGCACAAAAATCCCCCAGCACGTTGTTTTTTTTTCTAGAGAAATGACCTTTCCGCGGGTCCAAACCAGTTTTCAAGGTTGATTCTTTCCCAGATGCTCCATGTATGGTATATTTACCTTCATTTACCCAAAAAATTGCCCAAATGTAGGATATGTAGGTAAATATATACCATACATGGAGCATCTGGGTTTTGTTTGCTGTCATTTTGATTTTTGACCCCAATCACGTCAATACTCTAGAGATCTCTAGAAACATTTTGGGGTGAGTGGGGGTGGGGGCAACCGGCTTTCTAGAAAATCGATGTAATTAGGGAGGATCAGCTTAGTTTAAAGGATAGATATCTAACCTTTGTTTTCACCCTAAATGCCGGTATTCAGCTAAAGAAAGAAGATTAATGAAGATTATGTTTCTTTTTTGCAGAGCTTTGCCATGTCAAACTCAGGGTTTCAGCCGAACTTGGCATTTTTGTGCAAGGATGATGCATATACTTTATCTGGCTGGTGGTTTGGAACAATGTTTATTTTTCCGTATATTGGGATGTTCATCATCCCAACTGACGAACTCATATTTTTCATAGGCATTGAAACCACCAACCAGGTACTTTATCATATGTTGCATTCGATTTGTTGACATTTTTGTTGGTGATCCTGGGCCGCTATTGAACGGGGACAGCTGGATCTTGATAGGGACATATTGGAAAAGTCTGATCGAAACATTCGATAGGCGCTGGGTTGGGATCTAGAACAACTAAGGCATGACTTCGAAGAGGTCTATACAATTCGAGTGCCCCATTTAATGCCTGCAATTGTTCAGAAAAAATAGAAAACGTGCTGACAAGCTTTGAACATGCATATTTTGGTAGGTTCCATAACCTAGTAGAAAATCAGATGTGCCAACCCAACTGGGTTAACTCGTGTCCGGATTTCAATTCCAAAATGTCATGCAAGTCAAAGTCAACCTGGAGATGTCTTGGCTCAGGGGCTTTGAGTTGCTTGGCGTTGTTTTTTGGTTTTGAAAAAGCAGTAGATGGCATCATTACTGGTTGGTGGTTTCAAACATTATGTATTTATATATATATAGGGAAGAATAATCCCAACTGACGGACTCATATTTTTCAGAGGGGTATGTATACCACCAACCAGTCATTAACTTGAACGATGTTCTTTGCCAAGGTGTCACTGGTCATATGCAAAAGGTGGGTGATCTAGATCCAGTGGGGTGCTTCCAAACAAATCCAATCCCTGTCATGGGCTGCCGGCTCCCACAGTTATGGCCATGGCTATTAGTTATAACTGGTTATTTCTATGGGATTATACAATCTACAGATGGGGTTATAAGTACTTATAACTGGTAAAGGCTATAACTGCAGGTTAATTCATTTGGACCTGAAGTCCCAACATGTTCTTCTCTGCCAAGACGCCGTAGAGATGTCTTGGCTCACTTTGAGTTGCTTACCATGGAGAGATATTGTTTCTTGCGTTTGTTTTGTCGGTCCGGACAATGACAAACTCTTAAGTTGCAGTAGCTCATAGCAATGTGGTACCCACCCAGATATAAGTAGGTTTATAACCCCATCAACCAGAGATATATCTACCATAAGTCCTAGTGAAATTGGAGTTATAAACCAACTTAGCTATCGAACTGAGACATCACTTTGTAGCAATGCCAAGACCGAAATCTTTGGGTGCAACAAACTCGCGGTGGACCGCGATGGAAAGTGGCCGACCGAAAGACGGCGTCCTGCCGGCGTCCTGTCCTGGCGGGACTTCAACAAGACACCAAGGAGGCGGACTCCAAACAGACAGGATTTTAGCGGATTCCATTGAATCCTTCAGTCTTTTGGTATCAATGGGAATATCTACGTTCACCAGCAAAGAATGTGTCATTTTTTGCAGGGTATCTTTCAGATTGGCAATGTTTTGGGCTTTAAATATGTTAAAATGGGTACAATGTTGGCCTCCAAAGTCGGTAAGGTTGATGATAGTTCCGATAAGATGGTTTTATGCTGTAATTCAGTATTGGGATGTACGGGAGCCCCCTACCTCGCACAGAATTTTAAACCGGCCAAGCAACATGGTATCTTAGATTGACCACCAAATGGTGCGTAAATCCAATTTTGAGTTTGATGGCTGCGATGACTGGAAAACCATACTTGTTTATTATACTTACAATGTGGTACCCCCACAGTGATGTGAACGTTGGTTTATAACCCCATCCACCATAGATATATCTACCATAAGTCCTGGTGAATTTGGAGTTATTTGCACCAACTTAACGATTTCGTAAACAGGGGCACCACTTTGTAGCCAGTAGGATCGCCAACCTAGTAGAAATGACCTTAGTTTTGTTCGCGGGCACCAATAACCACTGTCAACCGTAAGAATGAACCAAAGTCTATTTACCCTCTGGTTATGACTAACAGTTCGCCATGGAAAGATCCACCCATTTTTAATAGGTAAACCATCTATTTCTATTAGGTCATTTTCCATGGCTATGTTAAATAACCAGAGGGTAATCATTAAAACTATTTAAAAAAAACAATTCGAACCATAACCACTAAATTATCATCCAACTATATTCACTAGTCAACATCAGGAACACTTGCAATACCACTGTTAATCACCTCGGCCGAGGCGTGTTGACAAGACCTTGTTTGGGAAAGCCGGACATGAGACGTTCGGCTGCCTCGGGCGATTATGGTGGGGGTTTGAGTGCCTGATAGGGCAGTCTGTGGTTTGATTTTTTTTTTAGCCATCATTCATCATGCAATGTGAGATTCGCGAAATGAATAAACATGTTTACAACTCCAAGATTTGTTTTTGTCTGGAACCAATTTAAAAACAAGGGGCACCATTGTGCAGGGTCAGAATGACTCATATGTTTATAACTTTCGAGAGCTCAACTGTTGAAATATCGGCCATGAATCCCATCCAATGTACCAACCTTGGGGGTCCAACATTGTAACCTTCCCCGCCTTGGAAGGCAAGGCAAACCTTTCATGATGATCCCCAAAGCAGTGATTCCAGTGATTCAAGGCAACTCAAGTGGTATCAACATTGAAGATCTATATGATCTTTGGGGCAATATACAAATACTGGATTAGTTATTTAACTAATGGTTTGAACGTGAAGTCACTGGATGCTTACTATCCGGGATGATGATCTCCAATACTATGGTTATTTCGGGACCATGATGCCATGGTTGCCCAATAAAATTGACCTACGCAGACCCAACTGGAAAGGATTGAACAAAACTTGGATTTAATTTTGGATTTTGGATTTGATTTCAATCCCAGCTCTTATTATACCATATTGTACCTGCATGTTCTTTAGGTGATTTCATTGAATAGTAAACTGATGTAAATTCCGCACAGTATTCACTCAACCATGGCGGCGCCATTTAAGCATCCACTTGACCACGAAAAGGACCAAGTGGCATAACTCAGCGATGCACGCCGTCAAATTTGTTCGCATCCCCGCGGAATTGCAATGGAATCGCTTTAAGAAAGATTAAGAATCCATGTTTTTTTTTAATCTTGGAGCTATTTGTTTTTTGGGGTTCATGATTCTGGGTCTTTATATATTAGGGCTAAAGTTTTGCAACTTAGATTTGGGTTCACAATTCAAGGGTTCCAACTCCATTTGAGCTGAGTATGCTGCAATTCAACCACATGTCAAGCCGTCAAACCATAAGCCTTCAGGAATTGCCATCTACCCCGAAATATTCTAATCCCACCACTGTTTCAGAAGTTTCTTGCAGTTATGGCCCGAAATATCAGTTATAAGTACTAACAAGTCACCCCATTTAACTCGTATCCCATAGAAATATCATGTTATAATCAGTTATAAATGGTGATTTAATGGTGATTAATGATGGTTAATGATGGTTAATGATGGTTAAGATAACTACAACTAATAGCCTTGGCCATGGTTCTGTGATGTTTTTTCACCATGGCCAGAACCATGGATCCCATCGAGTCCGGCGCCGAGGAATATTTGCAGTTCTGTGGCGTGGAAGCCAGGCGGGATGTGAAAAAACCGCTTGGGTCTGTGGAACGATGACTGCAGAACCATGGTGTTTTGCTGATTTATCCACCATTATTAACCATGAATAACCATAAATAACCATTATTAGCCACAAAAAAAAAACGTGATTCTCCATTAATAACCATAACTATACCTCTGGTTAACGGTAACAAACGTTAGCAAACGTTAACATAGATAGCGAACTGGAAAATCCACCCATTTTTCGAAAACGAACACTATTTCGACTGGGCCATTTTCTATGTCATTACCAGAGGGTAATCATTGGATGTCATTACCATTGGATGTCATTTTCTATGTCTGGGCAAACTGTGGATGTCATTACCAGAGGGTAATCGTTGGTGATCTGATTGGCATCAATCAAATCTGGATGGAATGAGGATTACCCTCTGGTAATGACTAACATAGCTATGGAAAATCACCATTTTTAATGGGAAAATCCACTATAAATGGCCATTTTCAATAGCTATGTTAAATTACCAGAGGGTAAACCACATTTTCTTAGTGAACCTCCGACATGTGATTGCTACCCAATCATATGTAAATTATGGTGCATCATATCTGCCGGTCATTGCAAATATCATCAACTAGGGAAATCGGAAAATTGTGAATCAGGAGTTGTACTCAATCAAGTTATGAACATATGTGGAATATCATATGTGCTACAATGAATATACATATATATATACGTGGTACAATGAACATATGTGGTACCAAATATATTCATATGATTTTACCGGTAATTGCAATCATCAGGTTATTTTACCACATATGTTCATTGTACCCAACAGATGTTCCACCATATACCCTCTATCAAACATTATATCAGGAACATATAGGAAACAACTACCTTACCATAACTTAGATCATTTACCCTATATTTACCAAACAGTTCACAAGGTCATTGTAACTTATAGTTTGCGGACTCCATTAACTATAGATATATCACATACAGTATCTATCACAACTTATTATACCAGCTTAGCTATCATAAATCCATCAGAATTCCAGTGAACATCCCAATATCCCAAAAAGCATACGCTTCCGACGCTACCAGTTGGTTTTCCCTGAACATATCGCATCCAGTCGATGTGTGGAATCACATTTTTTCCTGATGACATCCCTACACTGTGGGACCCCCATTGGTGAAAATTTGGTGTTGACTCCCATCTAACTCTAGTTTTTTTCTGCCATAAACCCCAACGTTAATCAAGTTTATTTTGCACCAACTTCGCCAACTACCATGATACAACCATGATATCATTATGATTCAATGTTGTTCCCATTATTAAATATGATAAACCCATAATTTTTCCATGGTTCACGCGGGGCCACGCATCCCAAGGGCGCTCCTGGTGCCTCGTGTCCGGCGGCCTGGATGCCGCGGTGGTCTTCTGGCAACGCAGCGGACGAGGCTCGTGGGCTTGGCCCCGGCTTGGCCTTGGAGGCGGTTGGAGGCGGTTGGAGGCCGAAATAGGCCATACTATAACTATAGTTAATGGAGGTTAATCTATGGTTTATCTATGATTAATAATGGTTAATAATGGTTAATAATCTACAATAGGGATATTAATGGTGATTTAATGGTGATATTAATGGTGATTGAATGGTGATTAACCCTCTGTTAATGGAATATGAATGGCTGTTTGATGGTTTGGAACATGTTTTTATTTTCCATCATATATGGGGTGACTGTACTTATACCCTCTGGTAAATTAACAAACAGTTCGACCCTGCCATTCAACGGGGTTGGAAGATGAGTGAAACCACTAAGAATTGGTGATTTTCAGGCTCCAACTGTTAATCTAGAGGGTAACTGGCCGGTTGATAGCCGAAATAGTTCATGGCCATATGGAGGAAAATGGCCCTTTAAAGAGCATATACCCCTTAAACATGCTGATTTTCAATAGCTACAATGTGGGGCCCCCGTTTACGATATCGCTAAGTTGCTGAACATAGTTTCAAGAACTATGGTCCAGATACCTATAACTAGCGTCTATGATGGTGGTTTATGATACCTATAACGTCCTTTACCTATGGTTTTGAATGTGTGTGGCACCTGTACTGGTTGGTGGTTTGGAACATTAATTTTATTTTCCCATATATTGGGAAGAATAATCCCTACTGACGAACTCATATTTTTCAGAGGGGTAGCTATACCACCAAGCAGCTTATAATGCAATGTCAACCCCGGATTAATGAACCATGGGTTATTAGTTAGAGATTATAAGTATTAATTGTAACATTAACATTCCATATTAAGACCCCATTATACTATATGGAATATTACATAAATGGGTATTTCAATAATTATTATGGATTAGATTTATGGGTAATCACATACTATGGGATTGATATTATACATATAACACTATATTCCATAAATGGGTATTTCAATATCAACATTCCATATAATTATAATAAGTATTGGAATAACCCCATTTATAGCATGTATATATGAATGTGTAATCCCATAGAAATAACAAGTTATAATTAAAAATCACCAGTTATAGTAAATGCCCAGAATTGTGGATATGATCCATGATGTTAAAAGCCTACAACGAAAATAACAATGAAAGGTTTTGGCATTGGATAAATCAACAAAGTTAACCGCATTGTTTTATCCCCAATCTGGGCAGACAGGTTGGAATCCCTTGGCTGGAGCGTGGGAAATTTAGGACCAAAAATCATCGGAAGAAGTGTAGAGCAAGAAATTCAGCGAACTTTACTGTGCTTTAAACACTGCGGGCCAGAGATTTAATCATAGAACAATGTTTAAAGCACAAGGTTCATTGGCTAGGAATTTCATCCTTTCTAGGTCAATCTTAGACAACACTAACTAGTCTTTTGGTACCAATGGGATTATCTACGTTCACCAGCTAAGAATTTGTCATTTTTTGCAGGGTATCTAAGATTGGCCATCCTTTGTGCACTTTGTTGAACATGCCAAGATGAGTAGGTCAACCCCCCGAATTCGATCCTCCTCTTTTTGCTGTATAAAAATACCCATATTAGCTTCAGGGTTGTCATCCTCTATTCATCTCTATTTCTCTCTTGTCATCTCTTTATTTTTTGTGTTTTATGTCCTTTTACGTGTCGTTATCTCTATTAATCCCCTTTCATCTCTGTTCATCCCTTTTCATCTGTTTTCATGTTATTTTCATTTGTTTTCATTGCTTTTCATCTCTGTTCATCTCTTTTCATCGCTTTTGCTCTCTGTTCATCGTGCTCATCTCTTGTCATCTCTGCTTCCGTGATCAAACTTTGTGTCTCCCCCGTAGCTTGGGAATGTGCGTACCTCTGTGCACCTTAGTGGGATTACAAGGACATCTATGGGGGGATGAATGTTGATATGTTCGTTGGATATTGTGTACATACGGGTGATTAAACAAACCAAAGTTCTGATATAGCCGTATATGGTGGGTATATAATGGGGTTCCCACCCCCGTGACCAGACCCTAAAACATGCATTCTGTTTTGAGACCTACAAAATCCATTATCAACATATTTTGGGTTCGTTTTTGGAAGGCCTCAAAGCCATGCATTTTAGGTTACCCTCTGGTTATTTAACATAGCCATGGAAAATGGCCCATTTATAGATGGTTTACCTATTAATAGCATTGTGATTTTCCATGGCTATGTTAAATAACAAGATGGTAATACCATGTTCCATTATGAACCATCCATTTGGTGGATCCCGCATTTATGGAAACCCTGTAACAATGTGTTTTTCCCACGGTCAGGTTAATTACTGGAAGGGATATATGATCATCTCCAAAAATTCAATGTGGGTTTGTCCAAAAAATGAGGTTGGTCAAAGTTGGTTAGTGTTGTTTACGAAAAAATAATCCCGTTTAGGGGTTTCCTGAAATAGGGATACCCCCAGTTCTCATCCATCTATAGATGGATCTTCCATAAAATAAATCATCCAGCGAGCTTGGGGTATCCCCATTTCAAGAAACCCCATTTGCCAACGGCAAAAAAAATGGAGGTTCCATTCTCAGACACACAAATAACCTTCGGTTCCTCAGGTCGAAAGGTGCAGATGCAACCAGATGTTGGGGAGGAGCCGGACAGTCACGCAGGTGTTGGGAAGAGTGAATTTGCGGAGATTATGGAAGCTATCTGTGGGTATAGGTCATATTGTTTTTAATAAAGTGTTTAGTGCTGAGGGTAGCCAAAATCTCTGGTCTTGCGGTTGTTAATTTTTGGGAATGTTGTTATGTCGATATCTAGAATCTAGAAGCTTAGTCACATGGCGTTGGGTTGTGGGGCCATTAAGACTATATCATCAGGGATATCAACTTTTGAACATGAGGGTTGAAGGCCGAAATCACAAATGATAGTTGTGGGATCATGTACAATTACCATAGTTTAGAGAGACTTCTGAGATTTTTAAAAGTCTTCATATCAGAGGCTGCTAAAGCTCACAAGCTGCCTTATCTTATCACAGGGCCTGAAGATCTGGAGCAGCTGCTGAAGGGTTGTCACCACTGGTGCGACTACATGATCCCACATCAAATTACTTCATACAGGATGGGGCCCCCAAGATTGCTAAGGTGCCTGATAAGTAGCTCAACTATGGTATAGCGTTCAGGTGCCTTATAAGTGGCTGAATTCTATGGTTTATGTTAGATATAACTATAATATTCATGGGGGTTATTATGGTTTGTTCCAAACTAACTTTTAACTGGGTGCCCCATCCTCTATTGATGTGTGATTATCCTATGAAACCACAGGGTGCCCCCCTGTAAACTTACATAGATGTCGGAAAGCCACCATTTGTAGATCATTGTCCTAGGGGAACCGTTGGTTTTCTACATCTATCCTGTATGCTAGTTGATCACAGCGTGTATTACGGGTATATCAGATTTGAGTCTGGTTGTAAGATTGATTTGTAAGTAGGATAATCCATTGGTATACTTATCCCAGCATTGTTCTGTTATTATTTGCCAAACAGTTAAGTTGGTTTACAAATAATTACCGTAAAGACAATAACTAGTGTTTATGATGCATATCGAACTACGTAGTTAAAACGGCAATGGCGGCCCACTATGCAGGACAAATTGAATCCCACATATCCCATTATGTTCCCATTTTTTTTACCATGACTATCCTCATCCGCTAAAAATATCATCCATTGCTTTCTATGATTATTCAAGGAATTATCGTTGGAAATATCTATTCTAGGTAATGATCAATTCAATATTCCGGTATTACTCGAGGATTACAAATCCATTTTTGAATCAGAGGCAATGTTCCAGGATTGTTCTCGAAACCATGGATTTTCGTGGATTGTCCACATCTGTGTCAGTTTACTCTACGGTATATTTACCTATCACGCTCAAATCTGCAGGAGTCTGCCACAGCCACCGGGCCACAGCTGTTGAATCCTCCATTTGTGTCGCTTGGCCAAGCGTGTGTTTTTCACCGAAAGAAATTGGACCAAACAAATGGCGCTCTAACTTGAAAACATATTTTTCATTAGCTAGCACCATGGTCATTTAACTAGCAAACATTGTGTTATTGGTGGGGTTATAATGGGTTGTAATGGGTATATACAATGGGAAATAAATTTTAGATAAGGAGATGCTGGTATATAAATGAATGTAATGGGTCTATGATGAGGATTATTGGTGAACATGGTGATTTACTTTGGTTTCACCATCTATAAATTATAAATTTGCGATATTAAACATCTTTTATGGTATTGGGCATTCAGTCAGCCCATTTTTGGAGATTGAACCGTGAGTAATAACCATCAACAATCGGGATTTAACTCGCAAATGTGAGGATACAACGGTCCAGGCAACAATATGTGGTTGGATGTCCCATTGACCTACACAATTTGGACAGGCTATGTGTAGTTTTTGCTGAGTGAATCGCCCTGCTGGTTAGTCAATACGGGTTGCATTTACAATTACGGTGCAACCGACTAGCTATATTTCCCAAACTGTTTTTGAGGATAGGACGCACCGTGATGAACACATTCTCACCATCCTTATGTCTCTTCCGTATGTAAATCCATATTATTTTCCCAGCAATTACATTTGTAAAGGCCATATTTAAAGGGCTAAGGACATATAGACCAGTATGTGCAGATGGTGCTACGGTACTATGGTGATCTCTTGGTTGAGGCATTCCCTCTCTTGGTTGAGGCATTCCCTCGCCTACCTTCCTGACGAAAGCTTAGCTGCAGGTGGGCTGGCAGGTATAAGGTGGCCCCGGGCTATTGGAGGATCATACCACGGCTCGGAAGTAGTTAGCAACTGGGGTTAATTGGGTATAGGTCAAAATTAAAGACCTTGGGGACCACAGATTTAAGTTTTTTAAAATATTGACCACCCAATAATTGGGGTACTCAATTTTGACCCATACCGAGTTCACCCATTTATAACTGGGACAATGCATTTAGGGGACTTACTCAGGTGGATGATCCTCCAAGTAATTTTGTTTGTTTGTTTATAGGTTCCATCAACTACAATTAGAATCTATAGATATATCAAGCATAAACATCCATAAACCATAGTTAAACTTTATTGTTAAACAATCTTGGCTATCTAGCTGGCCTCACATTGAACAACAGTTGGGTCTAATCCTGAGTGCCACACGTGTGCACACAGATGTGGGTAGGTGGGTCAGTCATCAGCACAACGGTGGGCACCATAGGTGCTGATGCAGCCGGACGACCTCGCGGGCAGCAGGGTCTACCAAGCACCATGGACAGACGGGGTGACAGACCGCCAAGCAGAGGAAACCTGGGAGCCAGAGACTCAGCCAAGGTTTTCGGCCAGCTGCGCTCTGCGAGATGTGATGTGATGTGCCCAAGGCTGTTTGGTCTCCGAGGCTTGGCGATTATCTCGTGCACAATTCCCGCGGCGACAATTATTTTATTTGTGCAAGCGAGTACCAAACCAACTACTTGGAAATAGGCACCTGGACAGCAGATGTGGCTTTCGGAATTTGTTGTGACGTCGCCGCATTCAGCACTCTTGCTATTTTTGCACAATTCATCTTCTCAGTGCGTGCCGGCCATTACAGGACACATGTTTTGTTGTAGCCCCTGTCTTCTATCTCTTGGCGCAGCCCAAAGGGTAGTGTACTGAATCTCGTCACTGTTTGGGTGAAAGGGTAGGACTATTTACCTCGGGGAGGGATTGTTAACTTGTAAAATATCATTGCGGCTTACAGCCCGCTTGCTTTCATAGGCTTTTCAAAACCGAACATGATGGATGAACAAAGAACAAATATTAGGGTCAACATCATTAATTATAACGAAACTCTTTGTGATAGTGATACTAATGTTTCCCACTAAAAGGTATTTCCGATCCACCGAAAAGTAAACTTGGTGATCCTAACGACGAAAAACACATGCAAAGTATCTGATGTTCAAAACATTGAAGTGTGGCCAGTATTCTCCCGGTGAGAAGCAATGGAAGAAGTTGTGCTGCCCCGCGATCCACGTGTTTACATGGTAGCGACCCAAGGCCGGCTGCAAACGACTTGGACCATGCAGCAGAAAGCCTTTCAGTTTTGAAAAATCTTAGGCATAGTGGGCGGTTTTTTGAGATGCTCCTACTTGCTCTTGAACTTGATGCTGGCTTCATGTCACCGCAGACCTGACGCAAGTTGTACTTCTTCAAGACAAAAAGCAGGTTGGGCCATTTTTAGAAGCAAATCATGTTGACAGACCAAGTCGCATTCTTGGATAAGAATAGGTTGTTTGGGCAACACATGCTTGTAGATCCATGAGAAACTACATGCATCTAGTTGATTTATTTGTTTGGGTTTTCCCCTTTAACAACAAATAAAAATTTCCCATTTCAATTTCCATAGCTGCTTTACATTCTAGCTGATTCCACTTTTAGTCCGTCCGCGGACGCCATTGTATATCAATTTGTCATTTGAGATGGACAATAGTGATATTTGAGAATATGCTATAGATGTTCATACCAGTAGTACCGCAAGGCGGTTTCAAAAATAGGAAACCTATAGGAGAGCTTGGTTGTTGTGAATCAGGGATGGCAGAGCGAATCCACTGATGGACCGAAAGGTGCTTGAGATCTCCTCTCTTTCTCTCTCTTTCTCTGACTACCGACCTACCTACCTACCTACCTACCGACCGACCTACCTACCTATCTATCTATCTATCTATCTATCTATTTGTCTACCTGTCTATCTGTGGTGCAGTGTCATTCAGAGTGATGTAGTGTAGTGTAGTGTAGTGTAGTGTAGTGTAGTGTAGTGGGGTGTAGTGGAATGTAGTGTAGTGTAGTGTAATGTAGGTAGTGTAGTGTAATTTAGTGTAGTGGAGTGTAGTGGAGTGTAGTTGTGTAGTTGCGTGGTTGTAGTTGTAGTGTAGTGTAGTGTATGTAGTGTAGTGTAGTGTAGTGTAGTGTAGTGTAGTGTAGTGTAGTGTAGTGTAGTGTAGTGGAAGGTAGTGTAGTGTAATGTAGTGTAGTGGAGTGTAGTGTAGTGTAATGTAGGGAAGTGTTGTGGAAGGTTGTGTAGTGTAGTGTCATTTAGCGTAGTGGAGTGTAGTGGAGTGTAGTTGTGTAGTTGTAGTTGTAGTGTAGTGGAATGTAGTGTAGTGTAATGTAGTGAAGTGTAGTGGAAGGTAGTGTAGTGTAATGTAGTGTAGTGTAGTGGAGTGTAGTGTAGTGTAATGTAGTGTAGTGTGGTGTAATTTAGTGTAGTGGAGTGTAGTTGTGTAGTTGTAGTTGTAGTGTAGTGTCGTGGAGTGCAGTGGAATGTAGTGTAGTGTAGTGTAATGTAGTGTAGTGTAGCGTAATTTAGTGTAGTGGAGTGTAGTGGAGTGTAGTGGAGTGTAGTTGTGTAGTTGTAGTTGTAGTTGTAGCGTAGTGGAGTGTAGTGTAGTGTATGTAGTGTAGTGTAATGTAATGTAGTGTAGTGTAGTGGAAGGTAGTGTAGTGTAGTGTAATGTAGTGTAGTGGAGTGTAGTGTAGTGTTATGTAGTGTAGTGTAGTGAAGTGTAATTTAGTGTGCTGGAGTGTAGTGGAGTGTAGTGTAATGTAGTGTAGTGTAGTGGAGTGTAGTGTAGTGTACTGTAGTGTAATTTAGTGTAGTGGAGTATAGCGGAGTGTAATTTAGTGTAGTTCAGTGTAGTGCAGTGTAGTTGTGTAGTTGTGTAGCTGTGTAGTTGTGTAGTTGTGTAGTTGTAGTTGTAGTGTTGTGGAAGGTAGTGTAATGTAATGTAGTGTAGTGGAGTGTAGTGTAGTGTAATGTAGTGTAGTGTAATGAAGCGAAGCGAAGCGAAGCGACATCTGAACCTCCAAAAGTGGTCCGAAACCCTAGTGTTTTGTACATTTTGACTTGGAAATGTGCTTCGCGCCACAACGGCGTGCACTTTTTCGACATCGCAACTTCCAAAAGTGGTCCGGAGCTGGTGTGTTTTGTACATTTTGACTTTGAAATGTGCTTCGCGCCACAACGGCGTGCACTTTTTCGACATCGCAACTTCCAAAAGTGGTCCGAACCCCTGGTGTTTTGTACATTTTGACTTCCAAATTTGCTTCGCGCCACAACGGCGTGCACTTTTTCATCTCTCATCTGGCCAGCTGGCTCCGCACCCGCCGCTTTAGCGAGCCTACTTTTCGACCCTCCGGAGCCACAAATCATTGGAAAAAACACAGTGTTTCGCGACTTTCCTACCTTTTCGCGCATCTGTATCTTCTGTCTTCTTACTCTTTCTCTTCTAATCTTCCTCTTCTCTCTGCCTCTGCCCTGCTCTGCTTTTCATCGGTCCATATTGTCGGAAGTTTGACTTCTAAACTTCCTTCGATGAACATTAGGGGAAACCATCGCTACAAATGATAGTCAAACTGCAAACCGGGGTGCCCGCTTCGCAGATACACTGCAAGAAAAAACAATCTGAAATTAGATGTATTATCTCAACGCGTCTCTAAACCATATGTCAGCCATAGTCATTTGTTTCAAACCCATCACGGTTTGACTACAAAAAAACAAAACAACACAAACACAACACACATTTACACATTCTCATATACATATGTTTGGTCTACTTATATCTACAATCTGGAGCCCCCAAGCGATAGCTAAGTTGGCGAACATAGTTTCAAGAACTATGTTTTATGATACCTATAGCTATAGTTAATGGCATTGGTGGTTTATGATACCTTTAACATCCTTTAACTATTGTTTTGAATGTGTGTGGTACCTATACTGGTTGGTGGTTCGGAACATGAATTTTATTTTCCCATATATTGGAAATAATCATCCTAACTGACGAACTCATATTTTTCAGAGGGGTAGGTGTACCACCAACCAGCTTATAATGTAATGTCAACCCCGGATGAATAAACCATGGTTGATTAATTAGAGATTATAAGTCTTAATTGTAACATTAACATTCCATATGAATATCCCATTCTGTTATAACTATAATATTCCATATAACTATAGTACTAATATCCATTTACCATGCCACAATTAAATTAATATTTCATTAACTATCTTGTATTATATTATATTATATTAACATTCCATGCAATGTGGGGCCACCTAATTAGATAGCTAAGTTGGCTTATAACCTCAATAACTATGGTTTATGACACCTATAAACTATAGTATTCCATTACCTATAGTATTAATATCCATTGAATAACTATAGTTCATGGTGGTTTCTGATACCTATAACATCCTTTAACTATGATTTTGAATGTGTGTGGGAGCTATAACTACAGTTATGGCCATTTACCAGTTATAAGTACTTATCGAAGGAAATTTAGAAGTCAAACTTCCGACAATATGGACAGATGAAAAGCAGAGTAGGGCAGAGGCAGAGAGAAGAGAAAGATCAGAAGAGAGAAGAGTAGAAGAGAAAGAGTAAGAAGAAAGAAGATGGAGATGCGCGAAAAGGTAGGAAAGTCGCGATTCTCTGTGTTTTTCCAATGATTTGGGGCCCCGGAGGGTCGAAACGTAGGCTCGCTAAAGCGGCGGGTGCAGAGCCAGCTGGCCAGAGGAGAGATGAAAAAGTGCACGCCGTTGTGCCGCGAAGCACATTTCCAAGTCAAAATGTACAAAACACCAGGGATTCGGACCACTTTTGGAAGTTGCGATGTCGAAAAAGTGCACGCCGTTGTGGCGCGAAGCACATTTCCAAGTCAAAATGTTAAAAACACACCATGCTCGGACCACTTTTGGAAGTTGAGATGTCGAAAAAGTGCACGCCGTTGTGGCGTGAAGCACGTTTCGAAGTCAAAATGCTAAAAACACCAGGGTTCGGACCACTTTTGGAGGTTCAGATGTCGAGAAAGTGCATGCCGTTGTGGCGCGAAGCACATTTCGAAGTCAAAATGTTAAAAACACTAGGGTTCGGACCACTTTTGGAGGTTCAGATGTCGAAAAAGTGCATGCCGTTGTGGCGCGAAGCAAAATTTCGAAGTCAAAATGTACAAAACACTATAGGGGTTCGGACCACTTTTGGAGGTTCAGATGTCGCTTCGCTTCACTACACTACACTACATTACACTACACTAGACTCCAGTACACTCCACCACACTAAATTACACTACACCACACTACATTACACTACACTACGCTCAACTACACTACACTACACTACACTATATCACATTACACTACTCTACGCTACACGCCACTACACTACATTACACTATACTACACTATCTTCCACTACACTTCACTACCTTACACTACACTACACTCCATTACACTACAACTACAACTACAACTACAACTACACAACTACACTCCTACACTCCACTACACTCCACTACACTAAATTACACTACACTACACTACATGATACTACACTGCACTACACTACACTACACTACACTACATTCCGCCACACTCCACTCCACTACATTACACTGAATGACACTGCACCACAGATAGACAGGTAGACAGATAGATAGATAGATAGGTAATTAGGTAGTTAGATGAAAGAGATAGATCGATAGAGAAATAGATACATAGATAGATAGATAGATAGATAGGTAGGTAGGTAGGTAGGTAGATAGTCAGAGAAAGAAAGAGAAAGAGAGGAGACCTCAACCACCTTTCGGTCCATCAGCGGCTTCGCGCTGCCATCCCTGATTCACAACAACCAACCTCTCCTATAGGTTTCCTATTTTTGAAACTTCCGCCACCGCCTTGTGCGGTACTACTGGTAAATCCCATTTATAGATTGTATAATCCCATGTATAACCAGTTATAACTAATACATGGCCATAACTGTAGTATTCATGGGTTTTTTGTTAACCAACATGGCCCCATCACTGGGCCCCACATGGTCCCACATGGTCCCAGGTCTTGGTGATGGAACGGTGGCGTTGTTGGATCCGGTGGATCGTGCGGAGATTGCCCGGCTTCGAGGCATCGAAGATGGGTCCCAGGTGACCAACAAACAGCAGGGAATATCATGGACATAGATCTAATGGTGTTATTTTAGGTTTATTATAGGGACATATGATTAGATAAACCATGATTTCCCTGGTATCATGGGCTAATGGTAAAGGGAAATCATGGTTTAGAAATAGGGAAATCATCCCCTTCTATGGCCTTTAACTCTTCAGGATAGATGGATGGAATTGACAGGATAAGGGACATAGGTAGGTAGCTACATAGATAGACAGATAGATAGATAGATAGAGGGATAAATCGATAGATAGACGGATGGATGGATCAATGGATAGATGGATAGATGGATAGGTAGGTGGCTAGGTAGATAGATAGATATTCAGCCTGAAGTAGGCAGAATATGAACTGTTCAAACATTTTTCCATTCAAGCGAATTTGCTGTCTGATTTCTATCTACTTCAGGATGACTATGCAAAGATTGGTACTTCACCAGTAGAGACTTGTACGAATGGGCATTTCAGGAACCTAAATTGGAGGTACCTACCATATATAAGGCCTATTTTTCAGGCCTAAATTTCAGGGATATCCCCACAAAATGTGGCCAACAATATGGTACGTTTACGTACCTCCACTTTAGGATCCTCTTTTATTCCCATTGATTGTATTTACCCAGTACAAGGTGGTGCCCCAGTTCGATAGCTAAGTTGGTGCAGATAACTCTAATAACTAAGAATTATAATAGATATATCTGTAGGTAAGGGGATTAGAAACCAACTTACATAACTAGGGGGCACCACCTTGTAAAACTACAGACCACTACGGGTGGTTTACCCTTCAGATCTCCATATCTAAAAACACGGCTCTGCCATGGAGGCTCTGCCGCTCTGAGGCTATGCGTTTCCCTTAGGAAATCCTTGGTGTTTCCCTTGATCTATATCTTAATTTACTCGAGGGCAACCAGTAGAAAATGGTTTGTAAGACAAATTGAACAGATATCAGTAATATCAGCAAGAAATATGGGAATAAAAAATGGAATATCCCCTTTTAAAGTGGGAGTAACCCAAATATAGTTTGGGATTTGACGACCAGAATATCAGCAAGAAATTGAAGAAATATGGGAACTCACCAGTAATTTGGATGAAATCACATGATTACTGCTGATACACATTGGAAATTGGGATACTATTAATTTCATATGTGTAGCCTCAAATATTGCGTATTGGTCATACATGAGTTACCTCCCACAAAAGGTTGGTGATGTTCACTATCTGAAGCCTAGATGTTTGTTCGGCCCAGCTATTTTGAGTCAAAGGTGTTGGCTAAGTAGTGGTTTATAGCTACACAACTAGGATTTATGGTCATTGTAGTTGCAGTAGGACCGGCCACCAAACGATAGATACAGTAAGTTTGTTTCCTATATAGGTGCACTATATTGTTTTTGGTGGAATATGTATATATATATGTAGTTCTATCAATCTAAAATGCATTGATCCACCACAAAACCATATAAATAGTTTGACCATATGTTCTTCAAAAATCTGTACATATGTGTTTTCATGCCTTTAAAATAGGGGTACTGTACCATATAGAACCATGGTGGATATATCCCCTTATCCTTGAGGCAATAGGATTCAATAAATCGATACCTGCAATGGCCATGGTTTCTGGCCAAGGACTGGTTATGGTATATGCCTGCCGACTAATATATATATATATATAATTAACACTTTAGTGGCTTAACTAATTGCTGAGTACCAACTATAGTTAAGTATGATTAGTTAACCAACTATAGTTAATTATAGACAATATAGTCAGTTAACCAACTTATGTGTTGAATATCAACTAATTATTGCCATGTTTTAATACCACTAAAATTATTACCATATAATTAACTATAGTCGGTTCACTAATTATATTTACACACTATAGTTAACTAATGTAGTTTAACATACTTATAGTGACTTATAGTAAGATAATTAACTATAGTTAACTATCGTAAACATAAACTATAGTTAACTATATCTGGGTATGAGGTATATACTAACTTGTTTTTTGTACTGACTTATAGTTTAACTATATTACATTATTACATGTCTAGTTAGATGGGCTAACATAAACCAAGAAACACAACCGGTGGCCCCACCGCCACCGGATGGTTCCGAACCGCAGGTCATTCAGCTGCCGTGGCGCAGGCGGATTTTACCAATGAAAATCGGGATCTGACTACGAAAAATGTGGGTTTAAACATCTTGGGTCAACCTTGCTGTTACAGTTATGGCCATTTATTAGTTATAACTGGTTATAAATGTGATTATACAATCTATAAATGGGGTATATAAGTACTTATAACTGGTAAAGGGCCATGACTGGAGATTTTAAAATGATTTAAGGTCAACATTAATCCACAACACCGTTGGTAAAATACCTGGTAAACATGGTAATGTTCAACACCATTAATGCTAAACATGGTGGATTTAAACCGCAGAAATACATGTTAGATACTTTCCTACTTTAATATGTTGCTGTGAATGGTAAGATGTGAATGGTAAATTGTACAACTCAGTTTTTATATAGTATTATAATTCCATAAAACATGTTTATTTTACCATAATGAAAGTGGATTTTTTATAATGATCTACAATAAACGACCCATGACTCGGAATGCCTTGAATCCCACGTATAAAAATGGTGATTTGGGGGATGGTTTACTATTGTTTTACCCACATTACAGTCAATGTGGATTATAACTTCCATAGCTATGGTGTATGGTACCTATAGCTATGGTATTCATGAGCGTTATCAACCAATTTAGCTATCTTGGGCCCCACATTGAAGAGATGTGGATGCAAGCACGTAAATTGGGTCAACCAACTGGTTAGATACGAACTCGTACTTTAATTTTTGGTTGTGAATGGTAAAATGTACATTCACCAGCTAAAAAATGTTTTGACACGTATGTTTCACCATGTAAAGATGGAGCTTGATATTGGATATTTTGGAGTTTTGAAAGCTAGCTTGGTTTACAACTCAGCTCACTAAGTTTTATGGTGAAAAATATTGGATTGGGGGAACCTACAAAATGCAATGAGAGAAGGGTTGGGACTAGGCGTCATCCCACATTCCCGGAATTTCGGAAGCACCTGTGCTGGGAAGTTCTATAAACTTTGTATACGTAGCTAGTCTCGAAATGGTGGCTGCAGGAGACCCCAAAACGTCAATTGATGTGTTGGGGCTTAGCTCATGCAGTTCAGGGAGGACAAATGAGACATGTCAATTAGTTTCGGCAAGTACATATACCCTTTTAAAATCCATTCATGTACCTAAACCCGGCCATGAAATTTTCTTTTACCTGGTACAGCCCTGTTTGGGTCGGTGCAGCATCAGGTTGTTAGCGCTCCTTTTGGTTTGGTCTCTGCTGGCAATGATTTGCAGGCACAAAAGTCTTGGGCATTTGGGGAAGGTCATCCCAGCTGTCACGAGACATGTCGCAAAGAATAGGATCGGATTGAGAGATGTGGGAACAATTTCCCATTCTCGATCCAAACATCCATCGAATTTTAGTACTCCTAACTCCTAATCCTAAATTGTAATTACCAATATTAATATTCGGAGTATTTTGGAGTCAAACATCAGAACTGAACATAGGGGATTAAACCGCTGTTTTGAGCAGAAACATAGAGTGAAAATGGCGGACCACAACCCAGACCTGACCAAAGCTGAGATGATGGTGAGCATAGGGAATTGTCCCAAACATGAATTCAAAAGAGGTTTGGGATTGTATGTATACATGATTATACATGTATGATTATATATGTCTGATTCTGGCCAGAGGTTAAGGAAGTCAAAAAGTGACAAGATGTTTTTTGGGAATATTCATTGGATTCCATCCACAACCGCTATTGTTTCAACATGATTCCAATAATTCATGTTCATTATTATTATCGAACTTCGGTAATTTATGATCCTTATGTAATATCATCGGTACTCTTTATTATGATGATTAATTTGGATTGAGAAAATATCTTATGTAATATCTTGGCATGAGGATATCTAGAACTCACAATAATAAGATCAGAGGTGCTAAGGGGTTTACTCAAGATGATTTTATGATTGAGAAAATAAACGGTTGATTGTTCCTTAGGAATTCCATAGGGCTATATTATAGGCTATAGTTATAAGAATAACTTGTTAATATCAGGAAAATGAACCGTTCATTTTCTCTACATAGCCCATTAGGGTAAATTAATGAATGCCCTGGCAAATTCATGAATAAATTAATGAGCACAACCAATTGTGGAATCACCCCATAAATTTTAAACCTATTATAGTATAATTGAAAAATAAGTATGGGAAATAATATAACCCCCGACTGCCACCGCCGCTGGCTGCCGCTGCTGTGGCGCCCGGCGGCTTCTGGAGCCACCGCCGGGGCCTCAGCGGTTGCAGCGATCCTCCTCCTTCTCCTCCTTCTCCTCCTTGTCCTCCTCCTCCTTCTTCTCCTTCTCCTCCTTCTCCTCTCCTCCTCCTCCTTCACCTCCTCCTCCTCATCATCATCATCGTCATCATCATCAACGTCATCATTATCATCATCATCACCATCGTCATCACCATCATCATCATCATCATCACCATCATCAACACCATCATCATCACCATCATCAGGATCATCATCCCCCTCATCATCATCCCCCTCATCATCATCATCATCACCACCATCATCATCAACATCATCATCATCATCACCATCATCATCACCATCACCATCACCATCATCATCACCATCATCATCACCATCCTCATCATTATCCTTTTCCTCCTCCTCCTCATCATCATCATCATCATCAGTTTCCCCTTCATCTTGCCCTGGCTAGAAGAGTCCCTTAGGCCAAGCCAATGGCATATCTTTTTGTTAGATTTATTTCTATTTGGTTTCGATGGATTGGATGACTAGCAATTTTAATTGAATTTACGTAATCTCAAATTAGTCAACTACTATGGCCAGACCTTAGTGCCTTGCGATGCCTTTGTAGGGATTGTCATTGTGACACCCTGGGCTCCGATACTGTTATGCTCGATCAATGGGAATCAAACTGACAATTTGTTTGGCCCAGTAAAGAATCCTGGTCCTAATTGAATGGAGTGGCATTAGACACTTGGTTCGACTACATGACTTTGGGGGCTTGCTGATAGAAAACCGCGTTGGGATTGGGGGTTGGAATTATTCAACCAACTTACCTGGCACCCATGAAATCCCTAATCACAATGGTTGAATACTTTTAGACTTGTCTCTTGCCAGATAAACCATTGCTTTTTTACTGCCCCCAATGGGCCTCCAGTCAGGATAACCCCATTTTGGACACCCCATAATCAGTGTAATTTGAATATAGCATGGGTTAAACAGCTCCTCAATTAAAATATTCCCATAACAATATATTCCAAGTATCACACCACGGGTGAGCCCATGGGATTCCACACATCATTGCCTGCTCTCTGGACCTGCTCGCTGGGTTGAATGGATTGGGAATTGAACAGGATTTCTTCAGGGTCCCCTAGATATGAATTGAATTCAAATCCCACGAGTTATGGTTATAATTGGGGTGGGATTTGGATCAGCAGTAGCCTCTGCCATACCTCTGCCAGGACCGCACAGAAATACACAAAAATTAAAAAACCAGGAAAGTCCGACAGGCGCTGATAAGGAAATCAGTGCATGACGGATAGGGTCTGGCAGGCCCTATCCCCTGTGCGTTCGGTAGCGCTCTGGAGTGCACCCAGCCTATCACCACCATTGTACGAACCATGGATTTTGGAGTGCATAGGCTCTATACGTAATTTTTGCCCTATGATGTTAAGGAAGTGCAGGAGAGGCTGGGCACTCTCGGTAGCGCTCTGGAGTGCACAGGGGATAGGGCCTGCCAGACCCTATCCGTCATGCACTGATTTCCTTATCAGCGCCTGTCGGACTTTCCTGGTTTTTTAATTTTTGTGTATTTCTGTGCGGTCCTGGCAGAGGTATGGCAGAGGCTACTGCTGATCCAAATCCCACCCCAATTATAACCATAACTTGTGGGATTTGAATTCAATTCATATCTAGGGGACCCTGAAGAAATCCTGTTCAATTCCCAATCCATTCAACCCAGCGAGCAGGTCCAGAGAGCAGGCAATGATGTGTGGAATCCCATGGGCTCACCCGTGGTGTGATACTTGGAATATATTGTTATGGGAATATTTCAATTGAGGAGCTGTTTAACCCATGCTATATTCAAATTACACTGATTATGGGGTGTCCAAAATGGGGTTATCCTGACTGGAGGCCCATTGGCGGCAGTAAAAAAGCAATGGTTTATCGGGCAAGAGGCAAGTCTAAAGTATTCAACCATTGTGATTAGGGATTTCATGGGTGCCAGGTAAGTTGGTTGAATAATCCCAACCCCAATCCCAAGGCAGTTTTCTATCAGCAAGCCCCCACATGTGGTCGAACCAAGTGTCCAATGCCACTCCAATAAATTAGCACCAGGACTCTTTACTGGGCAAAAAAATTGTCAGGTGCCTTTAAGCTCCATTTCCTCGCCATCTGATTCCCATTGATCGAGCATAACAGTATCGGAGCCCAGGGTGTCACAATGACAATCCCCACAAAGGCATCGCAAGGCACTAAGGTCTGGCCATAGTAGTTGACTAATTTGAGATTACGTAAATTCAATTAAAATTGCTAGTCATCCAATCCATCGAAACCAAATAGAAATAAATCTATCAAAAAGATATGCCATTGGCTTGGCCTAAGGGACTCTTCTAGCCAGGGCAAGATGAAGGGGAAACTGATGATGAGGAGGAGGAGGCAGATGATGATGGTGATGATCATGATGATGATGGTGATGGTGATGATGACGATGACGGTGATGATCATGATGGTGATGATGGTCATGATGATGGTGATGATGATGATGATGGTGATGATGATGAGGAGGATGATGATGAGGATGCTGATGATGATGGTGATGATGATGGTGATGATCATCATGATGATGATGATGATGGTGGTCATCATGATGATGATGATGATGACTATGATGATGATGCTGATGATGGTGATGATGATGACTATGATGATGATGCTGATGATAATGGTGATGATGATGATCATGATGATGATGATGATGATGGTGATGGCGATGGTGATGATGATGATAATGATGACGTTGATGATGATGACGATGATGATGATGAGGAGGAGGAGGTGAAGGAGGAGGATCGCTGCAACCGCTGAGGCCCCGGCGGTGGCTCCAGAAGCCGCCGGGTGCCACAGCAGCGGCAGCCAGCGGCGGTGGCAGTCGGGGGTTATATTATTTCCCATACTTATTTTTCAATTATACTATAATAGGTTTAAAATTTATGGGGTGATTCCACAATTGGTTGTGCTCATTAATTTATTAATGAATTTGCCAGGGCATTCATTAATTTACCCTAATGGGCTATGTAGAGAAAATGAACGGTTCATTTTCCTGATATTAAAACGTTATTCTTATAAAATTATAGCCTATAATATAGCCCTATGGAATTGCTAAGGGAAAATGAACCGTTTATTTTCCCATTCATAAAATCATCTTGAGTAAACTCATTAGGACCTCTGATCCTATTATTCTGAATTCTAAATGTCCACATGCCAAGATATTACATAAGATATTTTCTCAATCCAGATTAATCATCATGACAAAGAGTACCGATGATATTACATAAGGATAAAATAAAGGTTACCGATTTCATGCCTATGTTTTTTTTCAAATAATGACATTGCACTTTTTGCCTTCACTAACCTCACCCCAGGATTGCATGATTATACTGACAGGAAACATATATATATATATATACATCAGGTTTGGGATTGTATGTGTATATGCATAATGCATGATTATATGTATTTAATCTGATTGATGTACATAGACTGACAGGAAGCATATACATGTATAAATATTATATATATATATAAATTCACAGATATGTACTAGTCATCCACTCGGACTGTTTGTGTGGTTTCAATGGGAAACTGAACATTTGATTTGCCTGGATATCTGCAACTCATCCAACTCGGTTAGTCTGCTAAGACTCATGCGTACCATCAACTTGTTTCTCTTGGTAAACCACCAAGCTGTGACACTTGAAACGCAGAGGGTTACTGACTGATCTGACTGTAAGTGTTACCCTCTGGTAATGACTAACGTAGCTATTGAAAATGGCCCATTGATAGTTGATGTACCTATTATAAATTGTGATTGTCCATAGCTATGTCAGAGGGTAAAGTGACTGCATAGGGGGCAGAATAGATTGGTTGAAGCAACGCATGCAATGACATTTGACCTCTAGCCAAAATATGGTTGCGACAATATAACCAGCCAGGGTTGGAAGATAAACATAGCTCTTGATACCTTGGGAATGCAAAATGGGGAGCTTGGAACTCAAATACCCTGAGCATCAGGACTTGCAAGGGGTTCCTGAAGGTTTTCACAAGTGCTGTATAGTCCGTATATGTGCACACCATGCATCGTCAACATTTTGCATTGATACAACTTCACCCAAACTCAATGAACTTGTTTGATCAAGCACTGACACAGTATTGTGCAATCACCCAAAATTCACATTTTGCTCACCAAAGATTTTATCAATTTCAGTCTTGCAGAGTTTTGGCAGAGATGCCTTGCATCAATCATGAACACAAGGTTGCTGTGGATTGGTACACCATAAACGTACCAGGCAGAGTGCCTGATGAAAATATCCAAGCTTTGCAAAGACTCAGCGCTTTTGGTTTCAAGCTGGTGGTATGGTGCTGGTGTCATACTGTGGGGCCAGATGAAGTGAGGGAAGAAGCTGCAGCACTACCATCTGAATGGCTTGACGTGTGAATATGTGCAGGCCAATTTCAAGCACTTCCCTATAAGGACCAGCAGGCAGGTGAAGCTTCAACTGTAGCTTACTGGTACTATAATTCGTTGAGAATTGGCGAATGATCCAATCCATAACTAGTCATAGTCCCAGCAACTCCCATTCCCTGCTAAGAACCAGTCAGTTAACAAAAGCCATAGCTTACTTATCTCACACGTTCGCAACTTTCTATATATAGTTTGGGGTTGCTATACTACTTCAGTGAGTAGTGAGTCATCATTTCAGAATGGTTGAGTGCCGTGATGCTGGACCATTGCGGCCAGGTGGTTTTATGGTCAACCGATCCATCTGGCAGATTGCCGCTGCTGCAGTGGAGACATCATGAGAAGATGAACTGGCTGCCTGCTTGAAACAAGTGGTGGCCCTTGCGGCTGATCTATGTTCAACCAAAACCAGAATCAGCCTGACCGAACATGGGGGCCTACCCTCTGGTAATGGTGATTCAATAGGGATATTAATGGTGATTTAACGGTGATTAACCTTCTGGAATGTTAATGGCTTGTTGATCGTTTGGAACATTTTTCCATATATTGGGAATAATCATCCCAAGTGACAAATATTGTTCGGAGGGGTAGGTATACCACCAACCAGCTTCAAATATCTTCAAACTAATGTGGAAACCATGTCAAATGAAGCATTCCATGTCCAATTTCAATGGTTGGAATGCTGAGGTGTTATAGTCCAGCAGACCCACGCATTCTTACGCACACAAACAGGCCAATGTATCAAAGAAAATGAGCAAACAAGGCGAAGTCAAAGGTATTACCTCTTCGAAAAAAGGATAGTCGGATAGTCCCGACAATGCTCATACTGTGGGATCGAGATCGTTGGTAACATGTCCATACAGATCCTACCAATTTAACGTAGCTATTGAAAATGGTCATTAATAGTGGATTTTCCCATTAAAAATGGTGATTTTCCATAGTTATGTTAGTCATTACCAGATCCTAATTCCAACACACCCCAACCCAGGAGATCACGTTCTTCATGTCTAGTGGGGCATGGCGAAGCCATGCAGCTTCGCAACGCCTTGAGTCGTGTAAGGAGACCCACGCGGGCAATTGCAGCGTAATGGCCATGACACAAGCAAAATGACACAACAAAAGGAACTACTTTAAGTTATTTGAATGGCGCAAGTGAGTTTTACCAAGGACTATGTTTTTTTCCCCAAAGGTGATTCCCCAAATAATTTAAGGACTTTTGGATAGGGCTTAGCAACCACCAATAACCATGTTCATAAGGGTAAATCTTGGTTGAACGGTTGCATCCCCTACGAGTTAATTACTATTTAATCCTTCTTATAATCCCACAATTTTCCGCTATTACCCATTGGTATGTTCCAATTTAATCATCCCATATGTCCCCATTATTATCTCAATATGACTGTCAATATGTATATATATATATATCGATATCGATTTCCATTGGTCGTAATACAGGTGGTTGGTTTACTAGCACTTGTTATTGTTTCAATCTCCAGACAACTTGCTATTGTATACCAATTGATGGCCAAGTATCCCATGTTCTTTGTCCATTTATCTCCATAATTCTGGTTACAATATAAGGACCTCTCTGCGACCTCACTGGAATCATAGTTAATAATTAAGGAAATCATCCCCAAATTGCCTTAATTCAGGTTAGTGAAATTCTATAATTTAACCAGATTTCTTTCCATAGTTGCCCATTCTTAGTTTCCACTACTACTTAATATCCAGTACTAGCATCATCATGGGATCATCAATTAGCATTATCCCACACTTGTATCCCATTATACAAGTAATATGATCCTTTAACCACATATATATATATATATAATTCATTTACTATAAATATATAAATATATATATATATATTTATTTGGGTAAATTTTAACAACCTCACTACGACCTCACCATAGATGATGCTTTATTTCAGGGGAATCATCCCAAAATGGCCGCAAGATTCAGGTTTGTGAAAGATCGTAACTTACCCAGATGGATCCGCATCATATTTCCATTGTTACTCATGAAAAAAAAATCCCCATTCTCCGTACACTGGATCTATTGAAATTCATATCTCAATGAGATATTCCCTGAAATTTAGGCCTTTTTTGTAGGCGTTATATATGGTAGGTACCTCCAATTTGAGTTCCTGAAGTGGCCATTGAATATCCATGATAATCATCTTGATAATCCCCATTATCCATTTCTTATCGATTGTAATATCCATGACTGTGCCAATAATAAAAATATTATCCTAGCAATAAGTATCATTATCCGTTAATATCCCATTACAATCACCGTTATAAACATAAGTGTTATCCTATTAGTATTCATAAGATTTCCATGAAATTCAAGTAAAGGGGTCGGTTATCCATTAATCTGTAAGCACCCACTAATCCGCAAGAAGTATCCTCACGTGATAGCATCCCATTAAGCATCCAGAGATGTGATAAAGAGGATCCAATTATTCATCCAATCAAACAGTAATCCATAAGTATTGACAATACTCTATCTAATCAAACATTAATCCATCATAGTATCATCTAATCAAACATTAATCCATAGTATGGTTGGTGGTTTGGAACATTTTTTATTGTTCCCTATATTGGGAATTTAATCATCCCAACTGACGAACTCATATTTTTCAAAGGGGTTGAAACCACCAACCAGATAAGTATTGACCCATTACTATTGTAATACCCATTACTATGCCATTAATAAGAATATTGTCCTAGCAATAAACATCGTTAGTTATCCGTGAATATCCCATTACACTACCCGTTGTAAACATAAGTGTAATCCCATTAGTATCCATAAATTTAATAAAAGTATCATCTAATCAAACATTAATGGATTATCCCATTAGTAGATGATACCATTAATCTATCTATTAATCCGATTATTATCCCATCTATTAATGATACTAACCACTATAAACATTGGTATCATCCCTTTGTATTTATCGCAGAGGTTGGCATCAGTAGAAAATCGGCTCATAGTGGCTGGACTTGGAAACGAGATCCTTGGCGCGTTGCGTAGGGACCTGTAGGGGGGTTAAGCAAAAACAAAAAGTGGGGATTTACTGTCCATTTATGGGAAGTTATGGTTGATTTAGTTGATTTCACTTTTTTTGAGATATATTTCATATAGTTTGAAACATTTCTTTTACTGACGATTACTTGATGGTTAGCACTGCAATAATAATCCGTGAATGGGTGGCGCAAGCTGGCTGGAACTAGCATTGGTCCATTTATGATAAGGTGGCGGATTATGAAACATACCCTCTGGTAAACCAACGTAATAGCTATTGAAAATGGCCATTTTTACCCATTAAAAATTGTGATTTTACATAGTTATGTAAACGTTTACCAGAGGGTATATGTGAGGCTTTGTGAAAGATATATCAGCACTGGGTGAATATCACTCAACTACCCTGCGCTCCTACCTGTGCCTTTGATCACTCCTGTTGCTTCTTTTATTTGGGGAGCTAGTTGAAGTGTGATTTCACCCTAGATCAGCATCACAGACAGGAATAAACCCACTTGATAGGCGATTTGGTGCAAAAAACTACTATTAGCTTTATAAGAATATAGGATATAATATAATATATAAGATGTTTAAAACAGTGAATACGTATATATAGTATAGATAACTACAATGATAGGCAAACTGGGTAGTTACTGTGAATACATTGCTAGATGAGGTCAAAAACAGAACTAGGGGACCATTTTTGATTTCTTGCATATGCACTATGTTTGGATGAAATGGTGGAGAGTGGGTGCAAACGGTTTGCTACATAGGAAGCTGACACTTTTGACAAAGTATCTTACCAGCAGGAAAGAAACAATGCCAAAAAACTTATGTTGGAAGTTCCTCCTAATGATTCCATGCAAATCAAAATGATAGTATCATGAAATAAATGTCGATTCCAATCTTTGGTGTTGAAATCATGGTAAGTTATCTTCTGGTTGGTGGTTTGAGTTTGAAACATTTTTTATTTTCCATATATTGGGAAGAATCATCCCAACTGACGAACTCATATTTTTCAAGATGGTTAAAACCACCAACCAGTATCTTTATTAATCATCATTAATCATCATTTACCATACATTAACCATACATTAACCATACATTAACCATACATTAACCATATATATACCATATATTAACCATATATTAACCATATATTAACCATCATAAACCATTGGTTAAGACACTGTTGTTGGTCCTATCGTTTCGAGGGCCCCGGGCCTGGGCCCGCGAACCCGCTGCCCTGCCGAGTCTCCGAGGATTGTCGTCTACGAAGGTCTGGATCGCTGAGGGCCACGTGACTGGACGTCATCGTCGGCATCAGCAGCATGATTATGATCATAATCATCATAGTAATATTGATGATAACAAGAATATAATGGCACTGCATACATAATAAATATATATATATAATTGTATATGTACTGTCATGAGGGAGGGAGAAATCCTGCGGAAATGCCTCTGTTGGTCATTCTAGATTCATACAATGTGGTACCCCCCCAGTTATAAGTTGGTTTATAACCCCATCAACCAGAGATATATCTACCATAAGTCCTAGTGAAATTGGAGTTATTTGCACCAACTTAGCTATCTATGAGGCACCACTTTGTAGTAACATTGATAATATCAAGAATGTCATGGCACTGCATACATTATATATATATATAATTATATATGTACTATCATCATATAAATTGTCAATCAACATCATAATCCATCATTGCTCAACATGCCACATCCGGAGGTAGGTGATTTTGAACAGCAAACATTTTATATCCAACCGAAAAACGCAGCGTTGTGGTGGACACAACGCCTTGTCAGGGCAAGCCTTGGCTAGCGGCTAGTTAGCGGCTAGCGGTTGGAAAATGTATTGTAACAATCTCATATCCCTTAACAATCATTTGTTTGATGGAGTGGGCTGACTTTCAAATATTTATTCACATAATATGGGTTTGTTTCAAAAAATCGACCTGTTGGTTCATTGATTTTCCTTCACAATTGCCGTTTGGGGATAGCCAATGATAGCCACCATTTGAGACAAGCCCAATGTGGGTGCTCCAGAAATGAGTGTGTTTATAAAAGGTATCCAATTGTACAATGTGGTACCACCCCAGTTATAAGTTGCTTTATAACCCCATCAACCAGAGATATATCTACCATAAGTCCTAGTGAAATTGGAATTATTTGCACCAACTTAGCTATCTATGAGGCACCACTTTGTAGATATGTGTAAATCATCACGACCTCTTGTTGTAATTACCCCAGTTTGCATATCGGGACCACACGTTGGACCACACATTGCATGGAATAAAATTATCCAAACTCCCAGTCCTTGACTA